TAAATAATAATTAAGTTCAATGATATCTATTTATCTAATTAAAATAAATAGTGAAATTTACTTATTTATTTATAGAATCATTTCTGAATTATCGATCGATAATAAATAGTATCATATGTTATAATAAACTTAGTAAATATATTCAAATATATTAATAATTATAGACAATAATTATTACAAATGCATATTAAATATAATTTTTTTATCATTGTTGAATTAGTACATGATCAATATATAGTAAGAATAGCAGTTTTTTTAAATCTTAAGTGATCATAAGAAGTTTCTAATTGTTTCCAATTTCAACGAATCATTTGAGAAATTTTAATTTAAAATGATTTTTAATTTAAAAAGATTCTCAAAAGATCTGGAAAATCAATTACAAATGATGATAACTATTTTTTTTCTTTTTTTTTTCTAAGTTATCCAAGCACATATAATAAAACCTGAAAATCGTACGTAAGATCACATCCTTGATATATCCCTGAGGGATTCTCGGATACCACTAGTGATTTTCCATTACACAATCAATAAGAGAATTTATCGACATTGATTTTTTAGAATGATTCGTCTATAAAGACTCTAGAAATACCTTAAAAATGATTATACTTTTGTGAATCTTTCTATTTTATTATACTAAAAAACGAATGATATTCATTGATTCAAATGATAATGAAATATATATCAAAAAATCAATTAGAATCAAAAAAAACGATGTTGTAAAATTTGAATTATTATTCGATACATCAGTGTAATATTTTCTTGTGTGGAATAGAAATTTGTCTGAAATTTTCACCAAGTAGGCCATGGCTTTGTGGCCCGATCCGTAGATTATGACATCAATACAATTTACGTAATCTGGTGGACAGCAAATACCTAAGTTGGGTTAATATTCAAGATGCACTATCGAATCGATTGGCTGACCAGATTATTTACCAAATCATATGTTCTAGATATTGGAATAAATAGATCAAAAAATTTTCTAGATTTTCTAGATTTTTTATTGTTTGGATAACAATGCATATTCTGAAATCTTTTGGAACATAATTATAATCATCCAACTTTCTTACATTTTTTTTAGAAAGATTTATTTAGCGATAACTTAAATACATACCGATATAATTATAATATAGTTTAAGTTATATTTTTATATTATAATATAGTTATGCAGTTATATTTTTGTTAAATTTAAATTATTTTACATTTTATATATATATATATAACAAAAAATCTAAATTGAAATACCTAAGATAATTTTTTTATAATTATAATTTTTAATTTATGTCATGGTTGTATATTTTATATAAACTTTTCTAAATATATAATAATAGTAAATATTATTTAAATCTACTATATTATTTATAATATTCTTTCAACATCTTAAGCACTTTTTTATAAACTAGTTTAGGAGCATCCATAGCCCATAGAAAATCTATATGATTGAACTTCGCATATGGCACTTTATAGATAATTGGTTTCTTTGGTAATTCATTGGTTAACTTTATAACATCCTAAACAAAAAATAGAATACAATATAAAAAATAATTAAATAATAATAATTAAATAATATAAAGAAAATTATGTAAAAATATCTATATTTATTAAAAAATTTTCGAAATATATAAATACCTGAGGACTAGACAACCAATCATTATTACCGTAAAACAATACGATTGGTATTGTTATCTTTGATAAATTATATCTAGGTGGTTCAGGACTATTATAAATTAATAAATTTTTTTCTATACCATAATTATATTGTTGGAAATTTCCAGATTTTATTTCTTGAACAAAATGAACCATAGTCTTAGAAGATGTGCCAGCTGGTTGATAATTCAAAATTTTAGGTACCAGTGTCTACAATAATTTGCATAAATATATTAAAATTATTCTATTATATCTAATACAGATTTTTACATAAATTATTGTACTCACGTAATTAAATTGATTTTCGTCAAATCCAACAAGAATAAACAGTATATTACTACATATCTTTTCCTCCCGAAAATTCATATCACACAAATATTTTGCTAAAAATCTTGTAATAAAACTATTTGGTAAAAATGCTCCATCTCCAAATAAATACATTATTCTCTGAAAATTAACACGAAAATATTCATTACTTTCAATGATAGATATAAAAATAAGAATTTAAATGTTGAAAGAACATTCAAGAAAGTCATTATAATCGCTTATTAATTATTTTTTTTACCTTAAAATCAGATGCAAACGGAGCTAAATATCGTAAAGGAGTTCGTATATGTTTCAAAAAAGCTACTGGAGCAAGGCTATACATTGATTGTATTAATTTTGTTATTTGCGGTCGTTCACTGGCCATCACATAGAAACATGTCGTACCCATTGAAAATCCAATGTATGCTCTTAAAGAATTTTCTTTCAATTTTACAATGTAAGTGATCATCGCCGGTAGATCATAAATACCTGATTCATGCCAACTAAATATGTTATCACAAAAGTAATATTAAAAATTTTAAAATGCTCATTAATTATTTAATTATTTTATATATAAAATATGATTTTTTTTTACATAAAAATAAAATTATTATTCTATACATATTTCTGAAAATTTTTCTAAAATATACTTTTAATTATTTACAATGTATTATTATTTTATATTTTTAATTATCATTAATTTTTATTGTTTATAAATACCTGAAATCCCAAAACGTTAAATTTTCTGGTGATAAAGAAATATGCGCTTTTGAATAAGTATTGCCACGAAAATTTCCAAGCCATACATCGTAACCATTATCAGCTAATGAATAAGCTATAATCGTAAAAATTAGAATGTAAAATAATAATTTATTAAAATTTATAAATATAAAATATATAGCACAAAAAGATTTAATTTTTATTTTTGAATTAATTTTAATTTAAATTTTAATTTAAATTTAATTTTAGAATAGATATTGTTTTATTAAATAAATACATATATATATATATATATATATAATACATATATTGTACCAAGAGAATTTTTTTTGCCAAGTACAATCCAATCCATAGAGCAACCTAATACGCCGTGTTGTAAAAAAATTGTAGGAGATCCAGATTTTCCTACAATTCGGTGCATTGTTAAAATATAACCATCTTCTGTTAAAACTACATGTGCTTCAGCCGGATAACCCTCTTTTCTTATTATTTGCAACTACAATAAAATTATATCATTAATACTTACAATAAAAATTAAATCATTAACAATTAATGTTATTTATCAAAAAAAGAAAACCAGAAAAACAAAATAGTATGATATAATATAATTTTATGTATTAATAATAAAAATAAATAATTTTATTATTAAAATTTTGTTAAGATTATATCCAATTTTTCCATACATTAAAAATATTAATGTGATAAATATATTTCAAATATTTAATTAACATGAATAAACATGTAAATTCACATAGTAATTTAAAAACATAACATGTTTAGCAATTTACAAATATTAAAAAAATTAAAATATATAACAGAACAGAAATTATTACATGTAAATCACTTTGCAGACAACTAATTTTCAATGATAATAATTAAAAAAAATTTATCTTACATTTTTTGATAAATATTTTATTTTCTTTCTTAAATATTCTATTTTATTGGAAATTATTTTTATACACAAAAATGAATTAAAAAATAATTATAATAAAAATTAAAAAATAATTATTGATAAAATTAAAAATAAATATTGCTTATAATCAAAACTATTATATGCATATAAAATTTGATTTCTTACAAATAAAAATAAAAATAATAATTCTACTTACAATGTCGAGGTTTTCATTCGAATCTTCATTTTCACTTTTTTTATAATGATTGAATAATTCAAAGTTAAAGTTGAATGAAATCACGGAATGAAAAATAAATAGCGATAAAAATATTACAATTTGTCTCTTCATTCTAAAAAATTAAACAAACAACAAAATATTAAAAATAATACTATAAAATATAAAAAAAGTTTCATACAATACTTTATTAAAAAAA